ATACACAAAGAATATGAGAAGAAAAGGAAATGATTCCTAAGATATTCACAACAGCTAATTACATGGAGATATCACCCATAATCTCTAATTCCTATTTTACAATGATACCGAGTATCTTTAAGGATATTGATTAGTTCTACACCCCCCTCAAGCTGGGGAATATATATTGATCATTCTCAGCTTGGAGCATGGATTTTCAAATACTGGTCTTTGGGGAGCTTTAGTAAGAATATCTGCAATTTGTTGTTGTGACGGCGTGTATCCAATACTAATAACTTTGGCCTCAATTTTCTCGCTTATGAAATGTCGATCAATCTCAATATGCTTCGTCTGATCATCGTGGACCAGATTCTTTGCAATTCTTATAGCTGCCTCGTTGTCACATGCAAGTTTGATCAACTCCATTTCAACTTTGAGTTCATCGAGAAAGCTCTTAACCACATCACTTAGCATATTCCGTGTGCCATTGCCCTATATTCAGCTTCTGCACTACTTCTTGCAACAACTGATTGTTTCTTACTTCTCCATGTGACAAGATTGCCTCATACATAAGTACAATAGCCTGAAGTAGACCTCCAGTCACAGAGAGACCCGCCCCAGTTTGCATCAGTGAATACTCTTATACCTCTATCTGAACCTTTGGTAAAAGCAATTCCTTTTCCAGGTGTCCCTTTGGGGTACCTCAGAATTCAATATCCTGCCTACATGTGTTCGTTTGTGGGATTGTTCATAAACTTGGCTTACAACACTTACAGCACTTACTGGTAACCCTATACCGGGTCTTATGTGTGAAAGGTAGATCAGTTTTCCCACTAGCCTTTGGTGTCTTCCTTCGTCTACTGGAATGTTGTCTTGCTTGGATCCGACATTGTTGTATGGATCCATTGGCGTATCAGCTGGTTTACATCCAAGCATGCCCGTTTCTTTCAGGATATCTAGGACATGCTTCCTTTGAGAGAGAAAGATTCCTTTTCTTGATCTAGCAACTTCCATTCCAAGGAAATACTTCAAATTTCCAAGATCTTTAATCTCAATTTCCTTTGGCAATAGGGTTTTGAGACAACCAACTTCTATGTGATCATTGCCAATCAAGATTATGTCATCAACATAAACAATAAGAACAGTTACCTTTCGATCAGAGGTGTGTTTAACAAAGAGCGTGTGTTCCGCTTGGCATTGAGTGTACTGCGTTCTTTTGAGAACTTTAGAGAACCTATCAAACCAAGCCCATGGGACTGTGTTAGGCAATGGAGCGACTTTTTGAGTTTGCATACCTTGCCTTCATTTGCTTGTGAATTGAATCCACGTGGAATGTCCATGAAAACTTCTTCTTCAAGATCCCAATTAAGGAAAGCATTTTGACATTGAGTTTGTGCGGTGGCCAATCTAGGTTCGCAACGATAGCTAACAACACTTTGATGGTGCTCAATTTGGCAACTGATGCAAATGTTTCTTGGTAGTCTATCCTGTATGATTGAGTAAACCCTTTAGCCACCAATTGCGCCTTCTACCTTACAATTGTTCCGTCAGATTTGTACTTCTCTAAGATCCATTTGCAGCCTACTGTCCTTTGTCCTCTTTCCTGGTGGAAGGTCTGTAATCTCCCACGTCTGGTTCTTCTCCAATGCCTTGATTTCTTCAAATGTTGCGGCCTTCCATGCTGGGTTTTGTAAGGCCTCATGAATAGAGGTGGGAACCTGTGTTTCATCCAGTCTTGATACAGAGGCACGATAATTGGGTGATAATCCCTTGTAAGATAAAAAATTCCTTATTGGATGTGAAGTACAGGTCCAAACCCCCTTTCTTAAAGCAATAGGAAGATCTAGATTATCAACATTAGTAGGCTGAGTAGGACGCATACCTTGAGATTCAGGAGTTGGAATTGGTCGAGACTCGTGGCGCTGCTTAGATTGTACGGCGTGTACTTCCTTGTCCTACTTGCTTCCTTTTCCTGGTGTAGACTAGGGTTTCCTTTTTAGGGCTGAGGTGTGTATTTCTATTGGTGTCATAGGATTGGTAGAATGATCGGTTGAATGATGGATGAGGTTAGTTTGGACTGGTTCAGTTTCTGGCACATATGGGAAGAGAGTTTGATCTTTGGTTTTGGAAGAGATTGGAGGAAGGGATTGGATTGGGTCGGTGTTAATATCTTCACTCGTGAAAGGGTGTTCAATCATATTCCCCCTGAACATTCGTGTAGTATGGTTTGTTTTCTAAGAATGTGACATCCATGGAGGTGAAAAACTTCCGCTCAGAAGGGGAGTAGCATTTATTTTACAGTTTGGAGAATAGCCGAGAAAAATGCATTTTGAAGCTTTGGGGTCAAGTTTGCTTCTTTGATGGGAATGAATATGGACAAAGGCCGTACATCCAAATTTTTTTGGAGGTATATCTAAGATGAGGTGAGTGTTAGGAAATGACTGTAGAAGGACCTGACATGGGGTTTTGAATTTCAGGACTAGAGATTCAGTTTATGAGATAGGTAAAGGTGAGAATAACATCTCCCTAAAAGTGTTTAGGAACGTTAGAGATAACGAGAAGGGAACAAGCGGTTTCAAGCAAGTGTCTATTTTTTCGCTTGGCAACCGCAATTTGTTGAGGGGTATCGACACATGAGCTTTGATGTACAATCCTTTGCTCAGAGAGGTAATTGCCAAGGACATTTTTGTAGTATTTCGAGGCATTGTCAGTCTTTAGAGCTTGGATATTTGTGTGTAATTGGGTTTTTATCATCGTATGAAATTTGATGAAAAGACTTTTGGTTTCTGATTTTTCCTTCACGAGAAATACCCAAGAGAGACAAGTATGGTCATCCACAAACTGTAGGAACCACCTAGCTCCTGTTACGTTACTTACTTTCGTTTTTCCCCATTTGTCACTATGTATCAGAGAGAAAGGGTGTTGTGTAATTGAGGTGGATAGATTGTGCGAGAGTGTTTTAAGAATTGACAACTATCACACTGAAATAATTGAGGGTTCTTATTTCTGAATATTAATGGATATGGTCGAGACAGATAACTAAAATTAAGATGACCTAAACGATAATGTAGATTTAAGATCTCACACCAACAACTTCAGTTTTTTCTTTTGAAAGATAAGTCCAGCGCACACGAGAATGGTCATCAATAAAAGAAAGAAACCACCTTTATTTTGAAAGGGATGGAACGGACCCCACACGTCACTATGAATAAGAGAAAAAGGAGTTCATTCACAATATTTATGAATAGGAAAAGAATTCTAGTATGTTTTAACTTTTGACAAACTTCGCAAGAAAAAACATCTGATTACTAAACAAAGATGGAAACAATTTTCTTAAATATGAAAAACTAGGATGGGTCAGCTTTTCAGAATCGGACACCATGATTTTTCTCGGCTAAAGTCTCTAGAGGGCTTTTCAGAATTGGACACCATAATTTTTCTCGGCTAAAGTCTCTAGAGCTCTGATACCATATAGACTTCAGGAGTATATGAATTTGTATATTGCTGTGTTGATTGATTACAATACAGGGAAGATATACAAGAGAGAACAGAGAGAAGGACTATTCTAAAGCAACTCCCTATTGGAGTCTATCTATAACAACTTAGCACCTTTCCTTGTATTCGAATCTGTCTACAATTATATTCACCTATCATAGAGTATATGTTATTTATATGAATACAATTTTGATGTCTCCTTTGGACTAGAGGACAGATCTGCATACATCCCATTATGAACCTTGTTTTCGAGTGGGATATACTGTGTTGTTTTGGTTTGGTCTACAATTTCGATGGCTTTCAATTAATTTGAAAGTTTCTGATAATAGATTTTGTAAAGGAAGTGAGTTGTTGCTGTGAACAAGGTTTCAATGTTTGAACTCCCTTGGTCCCGTTTTCATTATGATTTTGCGTCTCAACAATCACACCCGATAGTCTTCCTTTGACTGTCAGAAAGAACTTCTGTTGATGACACTGTTAATGCTGTTCATCACTAGTCAGTGTCAAAACCCTAACAGGCATGATCTGAGAGGCATATATCTGAAAAAAGGGTACAAAGTGCACCTTTTAAAGCAGATAACTGCAAGGAAAATTTACGTATAGCTTGCAAATAAATTCGAGGGTCTTTACATGTGTCCTTGTTTTTTGCTTTCATTTGGTTCAGTTTTGCAAATAAATTTGACGGGCGGATTCATTTGTTCTCCTCTAGAACATGATTGCCATTTTTGAATGCTAGCGACTTTTCTTCCAAGTGTTATGCCTTCAAGATTTTACTACCATGCATATCATATGATTTCTGTTTCTGCAAATTGAACTATATATGATTTTATTCTAGGAAATCTGCATCAGTTATGTTCCCTTGACATATTGCTCATTTAAAACCGTACAATTTTGTTGAGTCAAGTTTGTATAGTTTTACTACTCCACCATGCATATGGTGAAACCAAACCAAACGAGTCCAATATATCCCTCCTTGAGGTGGGATAAAACTCGTTTATAATTCGGGAAAGTAATCAGTGTTTATAAATATCAACCAAGTACATTCTCATTTGTCAAATTGTTTATCTACTTTTTATTTAGACGGGTATTTGGTAGACTATCCCTCTTAAAACTTTGGTGCCAGTTGAATGCTTCTTGCCATTCTTTGGTTATTTTGTTAGCCCTGGGTATTTTGGCAAATGTTAACCCCTCTATTCCAAAATAAATATCCTCAATGAAAAAGGCCTACAATTTTAGAAATGTGTAATTATTACACTTTTTAATTAACAAAATGACAATTTTACCCTTAATAGGAGTAATGAATTTCTCCATCTCCTAATCATGAGTAGAATTAGAAAGTAGAGGCTTACTTTTAAAAGTGGACATCTATTTTGGAATAAACAAAAATAGAAACATACACAATTATTTTGGGACGGATGTAGTATTTGAGGAGGGGGGAATATGTGGACCAGAAATTTCTTCATGCGTCCTTCCACCCTTGCTTCTATCGTTTCATTTACGTTTCTCTTTGGGTTAATATTTCACAGGTTCCAGCTCTGCAAAGATTTATGCAAAACCGACGATCGCAATTTCAGCAACAACCAGACTTTCATATCACCTCCTCCACCATTCTTGCCTCCACTCTTCATATCACCAGATTAAACCCCTTGAGAAACTTGACAGCCCCCCCTATCAATACAACAAATCCGACCTCCGGACCTGGGCTAAGAGGTGGTCAACAACCAATTCAAACAAACGAAATGCCGGAAAACCCAGAAACCACCCAAACGCAACCTGGGAACGAGAACATGAATAGAGTAGGTAACCACCTTCAAGCAGCAGTGCAACCAGATGGTGGTGGCAGCAATCCTGGGGCTATGAATTCGTTCAGTTCGTTGTTGTTATGGATCTTGGGCGGCGCCTCTTCTGAAGGTCTCAGCTCATTTCTTTCTATGTTTAGAGATGTAAGAGACCAAGGCGGGCAAGCGTATGCAGAATCCCCCCGGCAAGAAAACCGCTCAACACAGACTTCTCAATGATGGACAGGTATTTGAACTGGAGAATGTTTGATATGCATAAATATTTGTATGATATTTGCATCAGTATAAAAGCATTGTCAATATAGTTTGTATACTATGATGCAGCAGCAGCAGATGTAGTTTGTTGATGAGCTCGTATCATATAAAAATCTTTGTATTGTGGCTTCTCGTATGATTCGCAATTCGTAGTCATTACCACAGGTGTAGATAAGAACCTGGGTGAAAATGACCGATTGTAGTAGTGTATGACAACCAGGACTAGTCTGTAATCGACACAACTATGAGCTAGTTATCATCGTTGGTTACAAACTAGTCCTAGTTTTCTTTCTTAATAACAAGTAAGAATGGGTTATGGTACAAGAGATTCGGGATCACATGAGACGGTCTACTTTTCTTGAGACCCATGTGGGGTGACTTCTTAATCTCTCTGACAGGATTAACCGACGCGAGCAATCAAGTAATTAGTTTTTCGGAGTTCAAGTCAAAATCAGACAAATGAGGTTTTATTAAGGTTATTCTAAGTTGTAAATTCAATCAAATAAGATGGTTTCTTTACCTTTTATATGTAAAACCCATTGCTCTTAACAGGAAAGAAAGACACACACTGATGAAAAGTGGTTGGTCTCGTGTGATCAACCTTTTTTCTCATTAAATGGATAAAAGTTAAACAATGTTTGCTCTTTATTTTTATTCTTTTACCTTTTCTTTCTATGTATAATATTTTAAATACCCTAACAATAACAATATCTGATGTTTTATGCTATTATTAATGTTTTTCAAATATTATAAATTTTAAGTAAACTATAAAATGTGCTTGTACTTTGATCTAGTGATGGCCAAAAACCAGTCCCGGATCGGTTCTAAATCGGTCTTAAGCTTTCTTATAATCGGCCATAACCGGTCTCGGTCGAAAATGGTAAGACCAGTCAAAGTTCTTCATAGCCGGCTATGGGCCGATGGTCTTGGTCTTGATCCTGGTCCCAACCGGTCCTGGTATTAAAAAATAATTTTTTAATGATATATATTTTTAATATATTATAATATTTATAATTGGGTCATTGTAGAGATGGCCAAATGGACCCGGCCCGGCCCGTAACCGCTGGAGGACCGGAACCGGGACCAGAGAGGGACCGGAACCGGTATGGACCGGTTGTGGACCGCCGGTTATGAACCGGTTACGGATTTTAACGTTTTTTAGGACCGAGACCGGTTAAGACCGGAACCGGTTATGTAACCGGTGATAGGACCGGCCCGGCCCGGTCAACAAAAGTCAACGTATATATATATATATATATATATATATATATATATATATGAGTGATCAAATGAAAACTGCCTTCATTTGTGTAAACCTTGCAAACCACCTTCATCCGTCGATTTCATTGTTTAATCTTATGAATTTTTTTCATGAAATTGTTTAATCTAATGAAATTGTTTCATATAATACTTTTTTTTGATGAATTTGTTTCATATATGGTTGTGAAATTGTTTCATATAATACTTAATGAAACTGTTTCATGTATTTCTCTAAAATTAATGAAACTGTTTCATGTATTTCTCTAAAATTAATGAAACTGTTTCATGTATTTTTGTAAAATTAAAATAATGAAGATGATAATATCTATGGTTAACACCCTCCACAATAAAAATGATTAATCAACCTCTCATAATTATAAAAAAATAAACAAAATGAAAAATTATAATTGGTTGAATGAAGTTTGCATGGTTTGTACAAAGTAAGTGGTTTGCATTTGATCGCTCCCCTATATATATATATATATATATATATATATATATATTAGAGATGGCCAAATGGACCCGGCCCGCTGAGCCGGGCCGGGACCGGGACCGACAAAGGACCGGCCCGGGACCGGGACCGGTAAGGACCGGTTATGGGACCGAAAACCGGGACCGGTTGAGGTTTTTGGTAGTTTAGTGGGACCGGGACCGGGACTGGTTATGGGACCAACTATGGCCCGGCCCGGCCAGGCCCGAAAATTCAATTAATTTTATAAATAAATGTATTTTTAAATAATTTTATAATGTATTTTTATAAGAAAACGTAATTTTAATTATATTAAAATGCATTGGGACCGATTGGGACCGATTGGGACCGGGACCGGTTTTTGGCCATCTCTAATATATATATATAACAAAACGTATTTATAAAATTAAACGTATATATATACATATATATACATATAACAAAACATATTTTTAAACGTATTTATAAAATTAAATGTATTTATAAAATTAAATGTATTTATAAAATTAAACGTATACATATATAACAAAACATATTTTTAAACGTATTTATAATAAAATATATATATAACAAAACATATTTTTAAACGTATTTATAAAATTAAACGTATTTATTTTTAATATGTTATTAATATGATTGTAATATGTTTTATATATAAATTTATTAATTACCAAAAATTTGAAAAAAAAATATATTTTTTTTGCAAAGGACCGGCCATAACTGGTTATGGGACCGGTTATGGGACCGGAACCGGGACCGGACGGCTTAACCGGTTACCGGTAAGCTTGACGATTATGGAGGATTTCACAGGAACCGTTACCGGGACCGGTTATGGAGGGACCGGTTATGAAATGTTTTTGTCTTGTTCGGGACCGGCCGTAACCGGTTATTGCCCGGCCCGGGACCCATTTTTGGCCACCTCTAGGTCATTGTAATACACTTTAAAAATACATTTTAATATAATTAAAATTATATTGTCTTAAAAAAAATACGTTATAATATTATTTAAAAATGCATTTATTTATAAATTTTTTTGAATTTTGGGGCCGGTCCGGTCCATAACCGGTCCTGGTCCCACAAAACTGCCAAAAACCCCAACCGGTTCCGGTTTTCGGACAGGACAGATTTGGCCATCACTACTTTGATCAAAAAAATATTCATCACGTATGCAACTGTTTACAACCTTAACTAGTCCCTAACCCAAAATATGTAAAACTGACTTGCAACAATTTAACCTTCTCTTAAGGGCCTGATCAACTTTAACCGGTCTATTGACCAATGAAAAAGACAATGAGTCAATTTTTTTTTTTAAAAGGTGTCTGAAACCAACCATTTATAAGTTCTACAAATTCAAAATGTAACCAACTCTGATGAAGACCCAAAACTTAGCTGCCTTCCATATCAAACTCTACTGAAAATAAAAGAAATGGGACCGATTCCTCCTGAACCAAACAGCCCCTTGGTAACAATCCCATATGATATTTTAAAAAATTAATTGCTGAAAATGGGCTTCAACACACTGTTCTCTTCTTCATATTCACATACACCGTTTCTTTTCTTTCCTCCAACTCACAACAAACACTTAATGCTACCAATTATACGCTTGTATTGATGCTCGCAGGTTTCGGTTTCTTTTTCCATCCATTCGTGCCTGCCTGCTATGGAATATGCACACCACAATCGATGAAGACAACAACATGATGTTCTTCGATGAAGAGCAAATTGGTTACAGTGTCCAATTAGTTAACAGTCTAAAAATCAAACGAACTCACACACAGGTAGAGTCTTGGACTTGTAGAAATCTCTAAACCATATACTCTCATGTACATGCAACAAACAAGACTGAAGTCGACTTAAAATTCAGTGTCGAAGCAAGCTACCATGATTTTCGAGACCATAGCCCGAGCGAAAGGAATATAGCTCATGCTATACCTGTTTCATCAATTGGGAAAAAAAAACCGGAACACATTAGATTCCTGCAAAGAACGTGTCTATTGATATAAAATCGAAAAGTAATCGGTTTTTCCATTTGCTCCGAGGAACCTCAAGCATCCATGGCACTCGACCACTGAAGACCATCTATGTCGTTTTGTTCGAGTGTTTAAGGACCCATATGAATCTACTGTTTATGAACACCTATATCATGATCAAGTTAATTAAGTTTCTGATTGTTTCAACTGTTTTAATTATGTTCTGATGTTGAAACTCTATGCTTTTATTGAATATCAGATGTATATTACATGTATACTACATTAAGTTTTTTTGTGTCTATATGTATATATACAAGTTAACATCCTCATATATGTAACATTTCATGTTCATGTATGTTTAACTTATGTTAACATTTCCATGTTAACATGTCAACTTATGTGAAATTCCGGTGACAAAGTGGTTCAGATGGAAAAACAAATCGTACACGATCCTGATTTTATATATGTATGTATGTGTGTGTACATACTTTTATTTATTATCGCTCTGTCCTAGTAAGTCATCTCACTCTCCTACCTTTACTTTAAAGTAGGGACATTTCCAACCCTCAACCCCTTTCTGTCGACATTAAAACATGAGGACTATGAACCGCTATATTTTCTGCTTGTCCACTGCGATATCAAATCATGGTCTTGACCACCATTCCAGTTTAGAATCGCGATAACTGCTTAGCAGCTAAGTTTTCTTTAAAGACGTAAAGATCATGGGATTTTGGTATCTGCTACTGAAATGCCGTCTTTTTTTGGAAAAATGTCCAAATCTTGAGATCATGGTATGGATACAGAGACGGCAAAGAAGAACATAATGGGGTTCAGCACATTATTAGGGGAAATCAACCAGAGATTTAAGGTTCTCTTTAGCTTTTTTAAGATGATGTTATATACCAAAAAGTTATGGAGACTGCTTCAGTTTGCAGTTGATTGGATATAGCAAACTGCTAGAATGGCTTTCAACAATCAGGAGACACCTTTTGCACATGTTTTAACATGATTGTAATAAAAGTTTGAATCATATACCATCTAATAGTTCGAAAATTGCTGTAGAGAATGATAACTAATCAGCCATAACTCAATAAAGATGTAGTTCTTTAATCTATAAGTCATACACCTTGCCTTAAAAAATGCGCAAAATGCATCAAAATTTGGTTTAGTTCCTATGCACTGAATCGGATAATTTCTTTCTCAATCGATCCAACATAATTTCAAATTTTCCTATATGTACCCATTTTGACCACTAACCTGCTGATTTTGTAATGTTCGGTGACATGGATACCCGTTTACGCAAGGTTTACGAAATGTTTAAAAAAGGGTCACAGTGAAGTAGATAATAAACTTGAAATCCACGTCATTTAAGGTTACAAGATCAGCAGGTTATCAGTGAAAATGGGTAAAAAATAACTTTTTTGAAACTGTCACATTGATCGAGAAAAACAAATTCTTTGTTACACTGATGAGAAATAAAGCAAACTTCGTTCCATCTTAATGCATTTTGCCCTAAAAGAATCTCTTCGCAGAAAACCTCTCTTTTTGCCTCCCTCCTGTCTCTTAATTAAATCTTGATTTTTTCCTTTCTAAAACACCGTAGTCAAATTCTAAAGTAACCATAAACCTAACTTCGAGAAAATCAGATTATAAAATAGTTACACCAGTAACAGGAGTAAGATTTATGACATACCAAATGAGAGCCCCAAACTCTAAGATGATGGCCAGCAGTGTCAATAGCTTGTTATGAACCTGCTTGTTGCCATCAAGGGAAGATGGAATGAGAGAGGAGTCACTTTTAAAGAAGAACAAAAATGGTTGGATTTACCTGTTTAAGGGCAAAAAGGAAGGCTGACTTACATAGAGAGCACATAACAAAGCAAGTAAAATGCTTGCAATATATAATGCAGTTGCATAAATTCGAACAGGATCAAGCATCATATTCACTTGCCGCTTAGGGCCTATCAAGAATCCTGTGCTGCCATACAAAAGAAAATCTTAGCATATATAAACATAATACATGTAGAATGAGGAAGGTATTAGTAATGCAAACTTGTTTTTGCATCAAAAACATTTAAGATGAAACAAAGGCCTGGATTATCATGTATTTATATTTAGATGAATTAAAAGATAGCATATCAACTTAGTTGAATAAAACAGCATAAACTAGACACGTAAGCTCAAAATCAAATTCATTAATTCAGCTGATTGTACATACGCAACTTAATAATTACACACTTGCACAATACTCTGTTATCTCTAGAATGTTTATGTAATTGATCAAAAAGTAATCGCAAAGAAATAATATGTTTCTTTGAATATATAACTTGCATCGACTATTATCTCTTCTAATTACATAGCATAAGCAAACTAACGAGTTTTCCTTTAGAATATGTCTTGATCAGCCTTTCAGATGCTACTGAGAGATCTTAATAAAAAAATTCATTCTATAATCAAGTTTGACCACTGAAAAGAGTGGAGCAGGCATAACGTGGTCTCTAACTAATAATTATAGCAACACCTACATAAAAAATCAATTTAAAGAAAAGAGGGGCATATTCCATAATGGTCATACATCAGACCAGAACTTTTGTACCAACCCTAAAGACTGAGCTCAGGATTTGCTAAGACAAACACATATCTTCGACATTTTCAGCATGAAATTGCATAAAATAAGAAAGAATGTTAAGTGCAACTGGTCATATTCCCAGTTCTAGAAGCAACCTTTCATTCAGTTTTTCAGGAATGCTGCCTATAAGCAGTGCATAGGGCCATATGCACTTGGCATAGTTCAGATAATATCTAGGAGCATCAACATGGGAGTTCAGTGAGACAGAGTCGACTTGAGAAAAATTTAATTGGGATATAACTGTAAGCACCAAGTATGGAAGATGAGGGGAAACAATCCACCATAGTCATCTTGTATTACTAAAAACATCACTGTGAGGAGTCAACTATTTTGTAAAAACTAGCAACCAGTTAGAGAAGAGAAATGGAGATCAATGTACACAATGATGAGAAAAACAGAGGCAGCATGATATTAATTGAAATAATGGCAAGATAAATAATTGGAAGGCTATGAAAGTCCTCTAAATATAGTGCATATTATTTCAAGACAAACCTTCCAAGTGAAAGCAAATTTCCAAAGGTGAATGCTATGCCAAACTTGATTGGATTGAAGAAGACTAGCATTGACTGCGAAGAATGGATTTTATCATGCAAGTTAGCCAGAGTCGTTTATGAAATAATCGGATTTTACTCCAGATTACATATAATTCCAAGAAAGGCATCTCTACAGATAATGAATACTTCTTTCTTACAAGAAAACCAATTCAAGTTACAAGCATTAACTTTAATAATACTACAAGAAGAATATCATCTAGAAAGCAAAACAGATGGTCAAACTTCGAAGCTATAACGTCAATGTATAAATTTAACAATTTACATTTTCATTGTGCTCCCACATGGCTAGTTTCAGAGTAACCTATAACTTAGAATATTCCCCTATATACAAATGACCGCACCCTAAATTTTTATCGAGGTTCTCAATAATAGAAGAATTGTACCGTAATGACTAATAAATGATTCGCAACACACAAGAAAGCAATAATAAGCCCCGTGGCTGTGAGATAGTTTACCCTCGCACCAGTCTCATGTACCATCTTGGGTCTTCAGGGTAACCCTCATCCCGTTCGACCCTCAACAAAAATAAGGTTTGTCCCTATTGGGGATCATTGGAGCTAGTGCAACCCAGTTATTAAGATATGAAGGCCTACTTCCATTGAAAGGATCTAACTGACTAAGTCCTGAACATATACTTGAGGCTCCACGTCTTTCCTTTGAAACTAGAGATGGATTAAAAACTATAAAACTACAATCTGCAATGATCACGATGCCATAAATATGAAATATATCTTGTCAACCATGTGTTGGCCCAACGAAAACCAATTAGGGTATGTTTATGGTCATGCAAATATCTCAACAAATAAGCCTTTTCTAAGTTCCCTCCTACATCACAAAACGTAAAGATTGATCCATGTATGCATCCTCCTCAAGAGAAAGATTTAGAAATGTTCCTTTTTTTCAATTTCATGTTGATGAAAGGCTTGAAAAATAGCAGCCAAAGTAATCATAATGACACAGTACCTATCAGTTTCATATTACCGTTTACCAATTCAGCTAGAAGTCTCGTTATAATCATGAAATGTGTGAGAGTAACCCTCACCCGCTAATATCACTTTCAGCCTGGCAAACAAACCATGAGGATTGAGCTTCAAGGTCTATACAACGAATTAAACCCCCGCAGAATCTTTCCAAAGAGAAAGATAAAAGTTATCCAGGTCCTATTTGATTTTAGAACAATAATTTCCTCATGTATGGCATGAATGGATCACAAGCATTAGGAGAAATATGATAATTAGTGAAAGTTAATAACTAGAAGACAAAGAACAAGAAATATCATGAGAAATGAGATAAACAAGTTGCTGGATAGGCTTAACAATCTGAGTAAGCATTTTAGCTTGTTGAGCAATGAGAATTCAAAATATCAAAGTAAAAGGGTCAGGGGATAACATATTTAGGGTGGGGCTAAAGGCTAATTAAAGAAGTGTGGGAATATGTATAGGAATGTATTTCCATAGCGTGTAGTTGAAGACAAGCAGTAAATGCAGTCACCATATGTGGAGGGTCAAAAGATACAGCAAAAAGGGCATTACCTGTGACGACGTCATGAATATCAAAATAGAGACAATAGAACTAAGACATTGGGATAATGGACTCTATCATATTGAAAATGAAGAAAGAAACTTTACTTGATAAGTTCCACATTAGTAGAGACAAAATACAGCCTAAGACTATGACTATGAAATAAGTACCTTTTTGAGGCCTATAGTTCCTAGGAAAAACCAGAACCATTCGCCCTAGTATCATGTTTCATCAAAAAAACCATATTCATAAAATGTGCAACAAAAACTTAGGGGTCAACATGGAAGAGGAAGTTGTAGATATAAGACATGACAAGGACAAGATAATTCATGTATTATATGAAACATGAAATAATAAACCTAGTTAAACATTCCTAGGCCTACTCATGTCAATGAACAACCATAAAAATACTCTTAAGACCTACTCACTCCTAGATGAGTGAGAGACAAGAATGTCTTTACCCATTTATTCATACAACCAAACATAAAGCAACTAAAATGACAAATTTCATGAGTCAAACTGATGTATACACATGTGTGTAATCTATGGGGCTACTATTAACTGTCAAGCTCTAGGGTCCAACCTACACAATGTCAAGGTTCAGGAGAAAAACATAATGTCATCTAGTTGCAGGGGCCAATCCCCAAGAATCAAAACAAATATTTATCGAATTACAAAGAGTAAACTACCACATTTAATGAACAACAGTTGCTTCTTTGCTTTATCTATCCAACTCAACATAACCAACTTATAAAAAATGAATCTGAACAGAATGTCAACCTCGCCAAGAATATTCTACCAGCAACTCCAACAAGCTTCCAAGTCACCACAAGCAAATGAAGTTCACGAAATAATGAGACAAGCATTAAATCCTTGGAAATACATGAAACCAGCAAAAAAGACAACCTTTATCGATCAGCCCAAGTCTAGAGGCAAGAGAGAACCAGAAAGCCTTAAAACAATTTACCTAGTAAAGTGTCACGTCACCACAGCAGGTGCAATCAAGACCTCCAAAGTAATAGAAGGCCCAATCAGGGACCCGACACGAAAACTGATGCAAGGAGGGATAAGACCATGATTTAGGGTTTGCAGAAGCCAGAAGGCCCATAAACCAGTGGACAAAGATCAGAAGAAAGACCCACGCACATTTGCATGTGTGACATGCAAATGGTAGCTAACAGCAGGGCTGCAGCCTGCACAGGCTGTTTGTCTGGTCAAAGACTATAGCAAGAGCCTAGGATCTACTACCATGAAAGGGATTGGTATTACAGGCATGAATGTATTATTGAGGCATGCGCATACATGGTCTACAACTGGATCAATGAGCTCAAACAGGAAACATTTGCAGATTGTAATTGTTCACAATGAATTAAATGTAGCCACCCGGGTTACCGGTAGATCCTAACCCCTTGCAAACAGTTCGGATCATTTTGATAATAATAAGTTTGATCTGTACAGCAATGTGTTGAACTACTTCAACAAGTCTGCACGTAAGATATCCTGCTCGAACTCCGTCTTAAATAACATCGAATTGAACCACCATCTTTTCATCTACAATCGAGCATAAGCCCTCTTCTACTTGCTTTTCTCCCATATGTCAAGGGTTTAAGCCTCACCAAAGGTGAGGAGTGTGTGTGTGTGTGAGTTTTCCATACATAAATATATACTTTAAAGAAGAATTAAATGTAACTGGATGCAAATTCCAACATCCAGATGCTAGTTTTTTTTCTAGAAAGACCCCATAAACAACATCCAAACAGGTTAAATTTCTGTTTTCTGCACATTGACACCCCATAGTAATTCACTGGTCTCCCCTAGTAAACCACATACAAATAATAGTTAGCTAGTAATGCAGGCTGTTTTCTAACATTTAATGTCTATGGCTAAAAATACTGAAATTCAATCACGATGGTCTATCTACAACCATCCCCTCCTGTTAATACCGCTATTCATTCCATTTACACTGAAGTATCAAACTCGGTGTTTGCATGTTAGATGGCGTTTAGTTGATCATACATATATATCATGCCAGTTATGATCCAAAGCCAAGTGAAATAAATGGGAGGATAAGAAGAAACCAATTTATTCAACAGCAAAAAGTTAAATATAGAATTCAAAAGAAAAAGAAAGCCAGCTGATACCATAATAATTATGTAACATTCGCTTCAAACTTACCATAAGTGTACAGGTCAAACCAGCAACCAAGCATATGGCAAAACCGTAAAGTCTCTGTTCAGAAAGAGAGAGATAGAAAACAGGTCAATATTTAATGAACATGGGTGGTGCAATTCAAAAGGTTATAGTACACATTATACAAGGTATAACTAGAACAGAACCTACTAAAAATGCAACAAATATAAGACTGGAAACAACTGCAGGTTTCATTTCCGTACATTTTGACTGAACTGTTCCAGTAAAAAAGTGTCAGTCTTAAAATAATCATCCAATTCACCAGAATCTAAGAAAACCACATACAAGATTTGCAAATTTGCAACATATGTAATAACCCAACATGCTAATTGTGGATAATTTTATGTCCAATAACCATTTGAAAGACTCAATGTTCAAAATCAACCAAGTAGATGAAACATGCAAGTATCTTAGTATAGAAACTCATCTCTCTGCAAATAGGTCCTTAGCTGATAATTGCCCAGTCTTGATGTCAAAAATTCAAATAACTGTGGCACCAAGCTCAACCAAATAAAAGGATCCTAGATGCTCCACTGCTAGTAGCAAAGTTTCAAAATCTCATCATTGTTCATTTGACACCCCTCACCACTTCCTCCATCACGGCCCTGGCCAGGGTGCAGGCATGCACATGGTTGTATCACACCCAAGGCTACTCTTTACTCCACTTTTATTTCAACAAGGATTAATACCTCTACTATATTAGGCCTGGCAATTTCCATGTTCTTGGCAATGTCGCCAAACATGAATTGTAAAGAATCCCAGAAATTTAAGGTACCTAACTTGATCTTGATAGCGGCTGAATCCTTCTTGATCCAAGTTTAACACCCTCTCATTCTCCAAATGAAGGACTATAAAATGTGGATATCACTTGAGTGTCTTGACATTCCATCTCTTTCCTAGCAAGCACAAGGTCTATCTGACTAGAGTTTTGACCATTACTAAATGTTACCAGGTGAGACTTGTTTCCTAAAGCAAGTGTTACAACCAACAAATCATAAAAATTTAGAGATCTCTTCTCCTTTGTACTTATCTTCATACCTCAAACCCCATGAATTTTTTCAACGCCTTCACTATATTGCGGCAAATTTAACGAACGACAGTGAAATATGTAACCAATACAAGCAGCCACCACAGATCTAGATTTTCAAAGAGCCAAATTACTCCATGTAGCATTTTCCGATCTTAGATTTCCAAATTTGATTTCTTCGAATCTCTAATTCTAGAAATTGGCAATGCAAATGCATAGGAAACGAAGAATGGTTAATCTGAGTAGCAAACAAATACTTATTCAGATCTTAGAAAGTAAAAGAAGTGAACCTGTTTGGTGGACAAAGTACAGTTACGATTGAAGTCATCCATGAACGCAAAAGAAGATTCTTCGTCGACACGTCGTTGATCATCTTCGACTTCGATTCCGACGAGCATCCTCACCTTCTCCATGGCCTGGCTCATTTTATCCATTTTGATTTTATTTGATTTGATTTGCCCTCTTTTCCTTTTCTTGTTCTGCTGGACACTGCTACTACTCCGATACCCCCACCTCGTTTGGTATTGCAACAAGAGGTGGTTTAAGGTGGTGACTGGGATTGCTTATTTAAAAACTAACAATATGTTTTTTTATAAATGCTTATTTGGAGTAAATTATACGAGATAACTCGCGATTTATTCGAGATCGATTCGGTATAGGCTTGACCCGAATTCAACTCGACATATTAACAGGTCGAGTCAAACTATCCAATACTCGACTCGAAAAACTCGTGAGATACTTGATTTTTTATATATAGTTAGTTTTAAATAAAATCAGTTTTATAATATAATATGTATAATACAATGTTATAAAAGTGTCTTATATTTTTAAATATTTAAATAATATTGTGCACTTTTAATTATAAAAACTATATCAATAATTTTTTTATTAAAATCATAATTAAAAAAGACAAAAAAAATTATAGAAGTGTTGGTGAAGTGTCCCACATTGGAAGAGAGATAATAAAAAAAGATGGAGAGTTGTTATAAAAAGAGAGGGACGTAAATAAAGTTTGTAACATTGTTTTTTTATGATAAAGTTTGAGGTGCATCCTTTTAGTTTTTTAAAATTTAAAAGAACACATTTAAGTTTTATAATTTACAAGGGAGAGACTTTAAAATTTCATAAATTTCGATGGGTGAGCTTGATTCGAGTTCGAGCTTGGTTCGAGCTTCAAATGAGTTCGAGCTTGAGTTTAAAAAATTGCAATCAAATTCGAGTCAAGTTTAGTTTTTAACTACTTGCGAGTTTTTGAGTCGAGTTCGAGCTTGAGAAATGGCTATCGAGTCGAGTATACTGATACTCGAGCTCAACTCGCATCATTTACACCCCTAGTAATTGAAGTTTTATAAAAAGTGTTTGCGGTACCATACCGGATAAGTTGATAAAATAGATGAGATACCCTTTTCTTTTCTCATCCAAACACTAAAACACTTTATTGTCGGTACCACACTGGAATAAGTTAATAAATTAGAAGTTACCGATGCCAAACCGGTCATTTCCTTTTCTTTTTCTATCCAAACACTAAAAACTTTTTATTATCGGTACCACATCGAAATAAGTTAATAAACACTTTAAATAAGCAATCTTAAAACACCCCTAAACCCTAAATCCTAAATCCAAACACTAAAAACTCCTTCTTCTTTAATATAAAGAAGACGTCCGTAGCTTTCCCCCTTTTTATAAAAAAAAATTATGTTATCAAAAAAGATAAAATTATAAACCAAATATAATGTAAAATGCATGAAAATGTAATAAAAATAATAAATCGCAACACATTTGATGATACCAAAGATTAATAGGATATAGAGTGAACCTGCGAATGAACCTCATTAAAAAAACCGTTCTACTTTAGAATGAAGTTGTAACACTTCAAAATCTGGGAAAAAACGAGTTTTTAAAATTTTTTGTAACACGACATTTAAATGATAAATTCCTTTCTATAGATCAATATTTGATTACCTATCATGACAATATAAGATTTAACATTAATAAATAATACTCCAAACCTTACACAAAGTTTAGATCAGGGATGGGTGTTACTAAAGCCTAACAACGGTCATTGTCTCTAATATACAGAAGATGTCCTCGATAGCTAATTCCTTTTTCTACCTGTAACTGGCACTCATCTTATCACATTGTCGCTAGGACCATTCTCCAACAATGATCTAATGAACATGCTGACAAATAAAAAGGATTAGGCCTAAAGCCTAGTAGTTCAATCAATTTTCAACATAATTATAAGATGGTAAAACTGAAAGACTATTTATTTAAATCAACAATCCAAAATGAAACGTCTTTACAGTAAAAGAAACATCTTTCCAAAACACACCATTTTGTGATGAAAACTCACTAATCTGAACACCCAATTAACATGATGCCAAAATCAATACTCACACAATGCATGAGTAAAACTTGATATTTAAATGATGATCCTAGTTCAACATCAAATCAAGATCAATAGATGAATAGATTGAAGATTGCTAGATGAAAAAACAGATATGTTTTTATTATTGATAGAAAACATAAATTACAAAGAAATCACTCCTCTCTAGCCGACTCTCATAGAAATGTGAATTGTAATCAACAACTAATCTAAGCCCATGACACCTATTTATAGGAGTCATTTACAAGACATAAGCCCAATGCCCATAGTCCAATTACAAAGAGTATTACAATGCAATACAAAGAATGGCTTTATAAAACTTTCATTAACTTGGGGCTATCTAGACCCAACAATCTCCCTTTAAAGTTTTATAAAGGAAGTATCTTTTGAAGCATTCAGATCGCCTCCCCCTCTACTTTCTTTAAAAAACTTTAGTGTTGCTCGGCTTCAAAGAACATTTCAAGCTTCCCCCCCCCCCCAATAAAGCTCTTATTCTTTAGTTTCAACTTTAAAATAAGATCCAGTGTGAATTCAGCACCACTGATTGCACAAAAAACAGCTTTAAATGTAGATAACTCAACATGACCTTGAACCTTAAAATCATTGTCGGCCACAAAGCAAATTGATTCATCCAACCATGGGATAGATAACATGCGAGTTACATAACATACCAAGTGTAGAATCAGTCTAATAACAAGGAATTTTTCTTTGAACCATGAGTTGAATAAGCATCCAGCTTAAGAACTTGTACTGATAAGCTCACAAAGTGGGGTCTTAATAACAGCTTGAACAACCAAAGGAGACACCTTTGACAATAAGATCCAAAGAGAAATATCAGCATTAAGAATATATAGCTTCTTTAATCAGCAAGTCAATCAAGAAAGATAAGTCGATTTTCTTCAAACTTTCAGAAGATTGAACAACCAAAACTCAGATCTAAAAATTCTCAGCCAGATGAGTGATCATCGGCACTGAAAACTCTAAATCACAGACATGCCTTCAGAACAATGATTGTAAACATTCAAACCTCTAATTGATCAGATTATATGAATGATTGAGAACACTCAAAAACTTGATAACTCCAGAACCTCCAGAACAATGATTGCTGGCCTTCAAAATCTCTGATTGATCAAATAAAAAATAGTGATTGAAAGCACTTAACGATTTGGACTCTTGTAGAAAACTTTAGATTAATGATTGCAAAAACTCAAACTTCTGACTAGTCCAATCAAATACAGAATCCAATCACCCAGTTCTGAAAACATTCCAACTCCGGCTTTTCACAACCAACTCTATTGAATGTTGATCAAAAGTTACCGTTTGACTTTCTGATTGATCGAGGATGGAAATATCTCTAGAATTGTTGGCTCAAGATATGGTGAGGATTGAATTGAAGTTCCCTTAAATTGATTCGTGATCGCATCTAACTGATCCTTTTTATGGCCTTTAATTCATCTACTCTTGTACACTAGCTATTCGTTTGACTGAAGATCTCGAAGTGGCATAATTGTGCTCAGAAAAGATTTTTTATTAGCTCAATAGCTTCCTCATATGTCTTATTCATAGTGCACCCTTAGCAGCAGTAGTGATATAATTCTTGTACTGAGGGTTTAAACCACTGAAAAAGGTCTGAATAATCATCTACCCATGGAGTCCTGATGAGGGCACTTTGTCAGCATGTCTTTGTATCTTTCCCAAGCCTCATACAAAGATTCTTAATTCCACTAGGCAAAGTGTGTGATCTTAGCCATCAATTGAGCAGTCCGGCCTAGTGGAGAGAATTTCTAAGAAATGCAGTTACCATTTTAGCCTAAGTATCATTATGTCCGTTTGGTAGATTCTCTTCCGATGTAGGCGCTCTACTTCAAAATAGAAAATGGGAACAATCGGAGTTCAAAAGTATCATCAGGTACCCCCATTCATCTTAAAAGTGTTGCAGACCTTCTCAAATATATGAATGTGCCTATGAGGGTCTCTAGTGGGTGCACCCCCAAACTGGTTTTGTTGGAGCAGTTGTATAGTATCAAATTTGTTTTCAAATTTATTGGTTGCTATGGTAGGTGCTTGTACACCTATGTTGATGTTCACAACAGTCGAATTGGCATAGACCCTCATAGGAACCCGTCGGTGATGGCGGCCGTGGAAGTGGATTGTTCCTTAGTCTTTCATTGTCAATGCAACATAAACAGGTCGTCTTATTCAAAACCCCAATTATGACATCCCTTCTCTCCCACTTCACACCTCGGAACGCGCCGTCTCCTTCCATCTTTCTCAGCTTTCGTGCCTTAGCTTCTTTTTGCAAATGACGTGCGGTCTTTTTGATTTCTAGTTCGTATGGTTCTAAATTCTTCCCCCGATAACTTCTTGACATAAACCACTAAGAACTTAAATGTAGAATAAAGGGATTAGTGACCCAAAATAAAGAGAAAAATAACAAGAAAGAATAAAAAATGAAAAATGAAATATCCAATGTAATAATGGTTATAACTTGGTTTGCTATCAGTGCTAATTAGTTCCCAGGTAATAGCGCCAAAAACTTGATAGGAGGGTTAACATCCCCTAAATCTAACCACAAGTATTAGGTGTCGAATCATGTAATACATACAGTGAGTATGCATATCGAACCAAGGGAACCAAAGACTAAGTATGACGTTCATGTTGGGGGTGGTATCAAACAAAACGATGAAAGAATAGTCCTTAGATTTGGACATCGTGTTCAACAAGAACTCTAAAAGAATGTAAAACTCCCTCTCGTGATGATTCTCCTCATACAGCAGTCTTCGATCTTCAAACCTGATTTGATTCCAAACACTTTGTGGCTCCAAAAGTACTTTCTTAATCTCCCAAAATCGACTTCCAGCAGTCTAGATTGAAATTAGGTGATCTCCCAAAATCGACTTTCAATCGACATACTTTGAAAGACATGTGAGGGGGTTGTGCGGCTTTGCCCGCGACTTGAAGTCGCGGGGAAGGTCGTGCGTGTTGAATAGACACGTGACTTCAAGCTGCTGAAAAGGTGGCGCAACTCATTGTTAGGCCTCTTTATTCCAGTAACAATATCCCACTTTGGCCCCACTTTCCCACATCTTTATTCTGACGCTTGATTCCCTTGTATTTTGCAATAATTCACCACTTTCCTTCGCTTCAGTTGAAGAAACTTGGAAGAAATTGTTAAAAATATGCTTTGTTTGCTTGGAAACTAGTCGAACTTACCCGAATTATGGTATCAAAATAACGCCAAAAAAATGACATTATCATTAACATATATTTGTTTCACAATGTGTTTGTTTTATATGTATTTAGTTCATGATGTGTTCATGCATTTTTTGTTCTCATAAACACGTCAAAAATGTTTACATTGTGAATCAAATACATATGAAACAAACAGATTGTAAAACAAATATATATTAATTACTCCATTAAAGTCTAACTATCAATTGAAAATATCATATGACGTAACATATGATGCATTGGTTTCTAAAAATCTCATGATTTAGAGAGTCTCAAAAGGGTCGAGTAATATATATAATTTATTATCTTTAATTTTAATAAACTTATATAAATAATATATAAAAAGACAATGTAATTGATAGAGATATTTAAAAATTCTAATACAAAATCATAATTTATAAAATTTTATATTTTAAAGTGATTAAAAAACAATCATAATTTTTTTATTAACCTGGATATCCAATCCGCTATGCGAGTCGACTAATCACAGGATGACCACCTGCTTTGCAGATAGACCGGAGTCACCGCATTTGAACCTCCGTGGCCACAAAGGGATTTTTATTCTTCCTTGGATTTGAATTTGGGACCTCCTGATACTTTTGACCTTTGAAGCCAAGCTCAAACCAATGAGACACCATATTTGTGTTACAATCATAAATTTTAATACTTAGAAAAGAAGAGAGACAAGAACTATATTAATATACATGCATATATATATATATATATATATATATATTTATATCTCCACACAATTACCAAATACATACTATTTCGTATACATATTCCTAATCCAATATATATCAAACCTCATAAAAAGCTAGCTTTCCTTTGCAAGTATTCAAAACGACGTTAAAATCAGTTGTTTTTGTGGCAGTTTTGACGCACTTGTCCGGTCTCTTTAACGTCAAGCAACCCCATCTTGACCATGGCTCGTTGGAAATCCATGAAGAACATGGCTTGATTCATAGCATACCCGTTGACGATGGGTCTGGTCCTTGGGTCCGCCATCAAGGTTTGGTCCGACGACAGGACTCCGGCTTGCCTTTGAAGGGCGTTATAGTAACCGTTATCAAACATGTTTCTCGTCATGTCGAAAGGTTGCTCTGCGTTGTCACCCGCATTACAGGTTCTCGCAAGCATTTTCACAAACTGCGAGTCAATGCTCGGGTCCACGTCGTTTTTTGAATCGAAGTTTTTCAGACGGTTCTTGAACGACGAACATCGAGCCACTCCTAGTGTATGTCCACCTGTACGACCAAAATTAGTCGGGTTTAGCTATTAAATCATTTAACTTGATGGCATTTAATTAACCGTCTGAAATATACTCCGTCTGTCCTAAAATAAATAACCATAATAAAAAAGGTACAAAGTTTCATTAACAAAACCACAACTTTATTCTTAATAATAAAGTGACTAAGGGACCGTTTACCAAATACTTATTCGATAAATGTTTACCGGTAAAATTTAACACTATTATTTACTTATCGGGTTAGATTTTGGTCCACAAAAACGACATCGCATGCAACAATTTACCCGGTAAACGCTTATCATGGTAAGAGTCGTCGCCCTCACTTACCGGATAAGACTCTTGGTCTTTGTCTTGTTTTTACTGGGTAAGATTCTTAGGACGAATTCAAATAGAAATAAGGGGTGCAATAATTTACCAGAAAGAGCAACCATTTCTTGAGCATTAAAACCATGTTGCCCAAACATTTTAATGAGTTCACTCGTGTTTAAAGTTGGTGGAGGCAGGTTCCTTGTGTCTTCAATTTTGGATCTTGTCCCATCTTTCCGTCCTTTCGGTATGTCGTAATACGGACCTCTAGCCTGCAACGACGACCGTTTTTATAACTGACATATACAAAATGAAAACGAAATATTGAATAAAACGAGAATATGTCATTACAAAAAAAACCGCCTCACGGGCAGCCATAGCTATGATATCGGCACAAGATACAACGCCAGGACATTGGTTTTCCAACTGTTGTTTAGCATCGTCAATAATCTCGTATCCCCTCAAGCTCAGATTCGCAGGCGAGTCTTTCTCCGCCTTATTGTCGTCGGTAGAATCAAGCAAAATCGAAGCGTCACAACCCTGCATGTAAAAACACGCGTTCTTGATTATCTATAAAGCATAAGTGAGTCAACTCGACCTAGTCAACACGGGGAACAAAAAAAAGTACCTGGATGAAGCAATCATGAAAGTGCATCCTGATAAGGCCAGCAGCAAGAGTTGGATCAGATGTCAAAGCTGATCTGACTGAGTTCTGGATGATGAACTCGGCCATTGGGCAATTCATCATGTAGTAGTTCATGCTGAGGCCGTTGGAACATCTAAACATGATCGCGATCATCGTCACGACGATTGACATCAACGTTGTCATGATGGTCGATAAATAAGGCAATCCTTTTTTCCTGACGGAAAGACGTTAAAACGGCAAAAACCGTCACTAAAAGATTGATTAATTGGAGAAAGGCAAGAATGAGAAGAAACTAAAGAAGGAAGGTGGGCTATGTGGGTGTTAAGATGTGATGGATTCATATGTGATGAAGAAGCATTAAGTGATTGTATGTGTATATATACACACACGATAATGTCACATCATCAATCACTTTTTTATTTCGGAAAAATTATTGTAAACAATTATGATGTTTGTGTATATTTTAAAGATTATATTTTCAAAAGATATATTTAAATATATGTAATTTCGAATATATATATATATATATATATATATATTTATAAATAATAATTAAATGAAATTAGGTATATTTTAAAATTATATCTTTTTTCTAATTGTTGTGGGCTCAAAACTTGCTTCGCTTCTAAGTTGGGACATAAAGGACTCATGGGGTCTCTCTTTACATCTATGCGCATATATATATATATATATATATATATATATATATATATATATATATATATGGGAGCGATCAAAT